ACCTCGGCGTCACCACCACGTTCCCTGGGCACGAGCGGTTCGCTGTCTGTACCGAGGCAGTCTCAGGTTCCCCTCTTGCGACGTTCCCCCGGGACACGGTGTCTGGTCTGTTTACCCTCGACACCGCTTCCCCCGCGGTTGGTGCGTCCTCCCAGGTCGCTGCAGCTTGCTCGTGTCGGTCCCTCACTCACCCGTCCCTTCTCTGGCACCACCGCTTAGGTCACCCTGCTCTCCCACGTCTGCGTCACATGTCTCAGCACGGTCTTGTCTTAGGCCTCCCCGCGTCGCTCCCTGCCCTCCCACCCTCGACTGCGCCACCGTGCACGCCTTGCGTCGAGGGTCGGCTCCGCCGTGCTCCTCACTCCTCCTCGCTGCGTCCTGCTACTGCCCCCCTTCAGACCCTGCACCTGGACGTTTGGGGCCCTGCCCCCGTCCCCGGACCGCGCGGTGAGCGCTACTTCCTTGTGCTCGTCGACGACAACACGCGCTACACCACGGTGTTTCCCCTGGAGCGGAAGGCCGACGTGCCCGACGTTCTTCTCCCGTGGGTTGTGGCTGCGCGTCTCCACCGCGGTCTCCCCGTGTTGTGTCTCCACTCCGACCGTGGCGGCGAGTTCGCCTCTGGTCGGCTTGGACAGTTCTGTCGTGCGGAGGGCATCACCCAGTCGTACACGTTGCCGGACTCGCCACAGCAGAATGGGGTTGCTGAGCGCTGCATCGGCTTGGTCATGGAGGTCGCCCGTACATCCATGATCCATGCCGATGCCCCCCATTTTCTGTGGCCGTTCGCTGTTCGCTACGCTGCTCACCAGCTTAACCTGTGGCCACGCTCCCAGCGGCCGCAGGTTTCGCCGACCCTCCTTTGGACCGGGTCCCCCGGTGACGCGTCTGCGTTCCACGTCTGGGGCTGCCTTGCTCACGTTCGTGCCTCTGGCACGGACAAGCTCACTGCCCGCACTGTCCCCTGTGTCTTCCTCGGTTTCCCCCTGGACTCGTCTGACTGGCTCTTCTATCACCCGCCGTCTCACCGCTTCCTGCACCCTCGTGACGTCACCTTTGACGAGTCCGTCTCCTTCTACCGCCGCTTCCCTCACCGAGGTCTCCCAGTTGCCCCCCCCCTGTTCCTTGCTCCCTCTCCCCCAGTAGCCCCTGCCCCTCTCCCGCCTCGTCCTGCCCCGTCTGGTGTCTCTCACGTCACTCCCCTCCCGTCGGTTGTCCCCGTTGAGGAGTCTGCTGACTCTGGTGGTACCCCCGGTCCGTCCTTGCCGCGTCCCCCTTCCCCGGTGCCTCCGCCCCCACTGTCGCAGTCGCCGACCCCACTGCCGCCGCCGTCGCCGTCGCTGCCGCAGCCGTCGCCGCTGTCGCCGCCGCCGCAGCCGTCGCAGCCACTGCCGCCGCCGCTCTTGGCCCCTGGGGGTGCTGGTGTGGAGGAGGGTGTTCGTCCTGCGGCTTCTGGGGGTGCCGCTGGTGTTGGAGGGGGTTCTCGCTCTGGGGGTGTTGGTTCTGGGGGTGCTGCTGTTGAGTGTTCTGCCGACGGTCGTTCTGCCTCTGCTGGTCCGAGAGTTCCGGCCCAGCCGTCGTCGCCGCAGCAGCAGCCGTCACCGCCGGTCTCCGCTCTCCGCCTGCTCGGCCTTCCCTCCCCGGACCGCGCGCCGGTGTCTCCCCCACCGCCTGCTGACCTTCCTGTCTACGGTCCTGTGTTCCCGCCGCCGGACTCGTCTCCGGCCCGTCTTCCTCCTCGTTCCCCTCCTGTGTCTCCTCCGCTGTCCCCTGACCCTACACCTCCGTCTCACGTTTGGGCTCGCCGTCCCTCCCGTGCTCGTCCCGTCTCTCCTGTCCTGCCCTCCCACCCTATGTTGCTCCGTTCCCGCTCGTCTCGTCCTCCCCTCCTCCCGTCCCCTCCTCCCTCGTCCCTTGCTGTTGCACCTCCTCCGTTCTCTGACTACCTCAGTGCTGCTCGTCCCCTTGTCCCTCAGGTCCTTGCCTCTCTTGTTACCGACCCTGCTGTTCCTGTCTCGCGCCTTGACGCGCTTGTCGCTGCTGTCGCTGACTTCGCCTCTACCCGCCGCCTTGACTACGCTACCGCTCTGGTCTCTGACCCTGCCCGTCCTCCGTCCGTCGGGGGTGCTCCTGCCCTTGGCAGTGACGTCCTAGAGGACAGGCAGTACGAGCTGGCTTTCCTTTCCGAGGCTGCTCCCCATCTCTGCTCCATGCTGTTAGTCCCTGAGGGTGACCCAGACGCCTTCGACATCCCGACCCCTCGCACCTACGCTGAGGCCACCTCGGGACCTTGGGCCTCTCAGTGGATAGCTGCCATGGAGCAGGAGATGGCATCTTGGAGGTCCACCGGCACTTACGTCGACGCAGTTCCCCCGCCTGGGGTGAACGTAGTCGATGGTCGGTGGCTCTTCAAGGTGAAGCGCCCCCCTGGAGAGCCGCCTGTCTTCAAGGCGCGCTACGTGGCCAGAGGTTTCAGTCAGCGCGAGGGGGTTGACTTCTTCCAGACCTTCGCCCCGACCCCGAAGATGACCACTCTTCGGGCGCTGCTACATGTAGCAGCACAGCGCGACTACGAGCTTCACTCCCTCGACTTCTCTACTGCCTTTCTTCAGGGCAGCCTACATGAGCAGGTCTACCTGCGCCGACCACAGGGCTTCACTGGTACCTTCCCTCCTGGGACCCAGTGGCTTCTCAGGCGTCCGGTCTACGGCCTGCGTCAGGCTCCCCGCGAGTGGCACGACACGCTACGTGCCACGTTAGCAGACCTGCAGTTCTTTCCGTCCTCTGCTGACCCTTCACTGTTGATGCGTCCCGGCCAGACTCCGTTCTACATCCTTGTCTACGTAGACGACCTGGTCTTCGCTACTCCTGACAGGGACGCACTGGCCTCTGTGAAGGCTGAGCTGCTGAAGAGACACACCTGCACTGACCTTGGAGAGCTGCGTCGCTATCTTGGCCTGCAGATCTCTAGGGACAGAGCAGCACGCACCATCACTCTGACCCAGTCACACTTGGTGCGTCAGGTCCTTCAGAGGTTCGGTCTTCAGTTCTCCTCTGCACAGCCCACACCTCTACCCGTAGACCATGGGCTCTCTGCTCCCGTTCCTGAGGAGCCAGTAGAGCCCAGTGGCCCCTACGCAGAGCTGGTGGGTTGCCTCATGTACCTGATGACTTGCACTCGCCCAGATCTCGCATACCCTCTCAGCATCCTGGCTCGCTTTGTGGCTACAGGCAGACACCGACCTCAGCACTGGTCTGCCGCTAAGAGGGTCTGCCGTTCTCAACGATCAGAATCGCAAGTTCCAGCGCCGCGCGGTAAGCACTCGACCTCGCAAGTGTTTATTACTACAATGTGTTGGTCTCTAACTCCCACACCCTGTAACGATTGTCTCAGGTCGATGTCACGAAGGTCGGCACCATCGTTGAGAACACATGCAACGTGCTGCGAGCGCACTACATCGACTACGGGGTGTGCTTTGGCGAGGGGAGCATGACGCTGACGGGGTTCCTCGACGACCATGGACCTACCAGCAAACGGATCGTCACGGTGGATGGCTTGGACTCCGAGGGCAACCCTGCAACACACACCTTCCGCCTTCACGAGAAGCAGCTGAAGGATCAAGTCAGCCTCGGAGATCTCGAGTCTTGCATTGCCCTTGCCTCCCTGTTTGCACAGGACGTTATCACCAACCTGGAGACCCGCATGGCGAGCCTCAGCACACTCCGCGGCGCCAAGCTCTTCTTCGCCGACGCCTATCCCGACAACTACGCCCGGCTCGATCATCTCTGCGCCGAGTGGTTCGCATCACTGAAGCAACTCTTCAGCGCTGAATCGTGTAACATGCCAGGTGAGTCTGTTGGCTACTTTGCACAACTAAATGCATGTGTTATGCACTCTAGGACCGAGTTCAATGCTAATGCCTTGTTAATTTTACACGTCTGCATAAACCCTGCCCTAGGCGTCGACTAGGCTGCGGCCGAGCGTGAAGTGAAGCCCTTCTCACGCATGATGTTCAGCCACTACAAGGATCACTCGTTTCTCAACTGCCTCAAGAACGTCTGGCGCTCGTCAGACTGGCTAGCTACCTACCCCAACCTAATCAGGATCTGGGTGGCTGTCACCGTTCTCCCACTCAGCACCGTTGAGTGTGAGCGCGGCTTCAGCCGCCAAAATGCTATCAAGTCCTGGCTTTGCGGTAACCTGTGCGATGCCCGCCTCTCGGACCTGATGTGCGTGTCCCTTCTGCAGTACGATGTCGTTCTGGATGATGTCCTGGAGATGTGACGGAGGCCGAAAAAGCGGCGCCCGGCCAGAGAAGTCAGCATGCCCCTCCCTTCCCGTAAGCGCCGCAAGAAGGCAGCAGCAGCAGCAGCAGCAGCAGAGCCAGAAGAGGACGCCGAAGAGGCAGTGCCGTTTAGGGTCAAGAGGAAGAAGACCTCCCCTGCCAGCTCGATTTCCTTCCGCTCCGTCCCTGCAATCTCGGTTTGCAGCACCCTTGCAGTCTCTCGATACTTCCCCTTTGTTCCAATCCCCATCTCCCGATCTTGGCCCACACGCCTAAAGGACCCTGCTGCAGAGAGTTACTTCAAAAACCCCTCCGCATTGTCAGTGTTTTTTTTTTTAGAAATACAAAAAAAACCCTCGAAAATCAGAGAAACCATTGGGGAGCACTCTGATTTTCGGAGAGATGAAAAAAGCCACTCCCTGATTTCAGAGGTAGTAAAAATCCAAAAGTTGGCCCTGAACTAGATATGTGAGTCGAGTGACCCGCTGGGTTACCCTTAAAAAGATCCTCGGAGAAGGGCCACAGGTGCAGAGCCTGGGGGGCTATGGGCGCACTTACCCGCTCTTCAACAAGCCCTTTTAGCCCAGTGGGTAGTGAAGTGACTGGGTTTCTGAAAATGTGTAGCCTAACTATACGCTTGTTTGACACGAAAAAGCCAGGACTGGGCAATCAGCCTCCCTAAAACGAACCTGAGACCCTGGACTACACCAACACATATGAACATAGTCGCAGGAGGGAAGCAAAAGACTTAGCAACAACAAAAATTGTTACAGATATTTACAGAAACCGGATCTCATGTTCAGTTACTGCAGTATCCAGCTTCTTTTAGAGCTATCAAGAGGTCCCGCAGCACGATGGGTTTGGCGAGGACCCCATCCATGCCGGCCTGAGCACACGCCCACCGTACATTGCCGTCCACATCAGCTGTGAGGGCCAGCACACAGCAGGGCCTGGCTTGCTTCATCCCCGCGCTGCCCTCCGCCTCCATGGCTCGGATGCGCCGCGCCGTCTCGTACCTGCATGGGGGGAGGGAGGGGGCACGGACAGGGAGAAAGAAGAATATCAGCAGACGATATTCCAGTGAAAGGTGGTGCGGCATCGTCAGAAGACGAGAGAGAAGACGTGGGGAAGGAGCAGGCAGCGACAGAGAGCAGGAGGGTGCACGCACCCGTCCATGTCAGGCATTTGAAGGTCCAGCAGCACGAGCGACACGGCACGCACTGCCTCCCCCTGCCCCTGCCCCCTGGCGGCGGCCATCTGCGGGCACAGCGCATCCAGCGCGTGCGCGCCGCTGTCCACCATGAGCACGCGCGCCCCCAGCCCCAGCAGCGTTCTCTTGGCCACCATGCGGTTCACCACGTTGTCGTCCACCACCAGCACCGCCTGCTGCCCCACCACCCCCCGCAGCACCGCCACAGGGAAATCCAGCGAGGACACACACACACAGAGCGCCGACGGAGGCAGGGAGGAGGAGCGGGCAAGGGCTGGGCTGCCAGAGCGCTGAGAGTCAGAGGTAAAGGCGACTGCTGAGGAGAAAGCTGAGGAGGAAGAAGCCAAGCGAATGAGGTTGGTGGCTGGGCTGCTTGGTGTGGTGGAGGCAGTTGCGAGTGTGATTGAGTCGCAGTCGTGGGAATGGGTGGGGGACCGGTGTCTGGCGTGGGAGAGAGAAGCGACTGGAGAGGACTCGCTGGGAGGGGCAGTGCGTGTGGCTGGCGCAGGGGGAGCAGGTGGAGTGAACAGCTGCACACGGGAGGTTGAGAGGTGGAGTGGAAGGGGAAGCATGGTTAGAGGATACATGGGAGAAAGGGTGCAGGGGAGAAACAAGGGAGAGCAGGTAAGGCAGGAAGTAGGGTAGCGAGATGGACACACAAAAGGACACACAGTGTGCTTGCAGCAGCCCAGCAGAAACTCCTCTGCTGCACTCACATGCTGCAGGCAGTGCGCGGTGTGTGTGACGAGCCACGGGTGTGGCAGCACGGCCTTAAAGCCCCACATGCGTGCCTGCTCTTCATCCATGCTGCTAGCTTTGGCGCCCGTCAGCACCAGCACTGGCCCTGTGGACTCAGACCCCCCCACGACCCCACTCTGCCCACTCTGCTCCTTGGTGTGGGAGCAAGCAGCAGCCTGGCGCCCGAGCACAAGGCCGGTCCCCAGGCCAAAGGCGTCCACGGCAACCAGCACCACGTCCCACCCTCCACCACCCCTGCTGCCGCCGCCACTGCGTTTCGTGTTGCTGCTCCTGCTGGCACTCCTTCCCTTCCACTGCAGCAGGCGCATGGCCTTGGCCTGCGTGCAAGCCACTGCTACCCCCAAGCCCAGATACGTCAGGCATGCACTCACGGCCTGTCGGAGGGAGACAGGGAGGGATAGGAAAGGGACGAGGCGGCTGGGAAGAGAGAAAGTGAAGGACCAGAGCGAAACACTGGGGATTGGGATCGGAAAAGCTGTGGCAGATGGCTTGACCCAGCGACATGGCATCCAGCAACTCACCTGTGCTCTCAGTGCCATGGCATCCACCAGCAGCGCTCTCTTGCCCGCTACGAGAGACCAGACTGCCCTGCGGTGCAGCACCCACTCCTGCACCTCCACACTCCCACCCTCACTCGCCACAACACCGCCTTCGACACCACCATTGCTTCTGCTGGCACCACCAGCAGCACCAGCAGCACCAGCAGCACCAGCAGCAGCACCAGCAGCACCAGCAGCACCAGCAGCAGCACCAGCAGCACCAGCAGCACCAGCAGCAGCACCAGCAGCACCAGCAGCACCAGCAGCAGCACCAGCAGCACCAGCAGCACCAGCAGCAGCACCAGCAGCACCAGCAGCACCAGCAGCACCAGCAGCAGCACCAGCACCAGCAGCAGCACCAGCAGCACCAGCAGCACCAGCAGCACCAGCAGCACCACCAGCAGCACCAGCAGCACCAGCAGCACCAGCAGCACCAGCAGCACCAGCAGCAGTGCCTGACAGATGGCAGGCGGCCGTGGGTAGGGCGACGAGGATGGAGGTGCCCACGGTGTGCTCTGTTGCTATTCCCATGGCCCCCCTCATTAGCTTCACCTGCCACCCACGCACACATCAGCCACACACAAACTACCCACATGAATCAGGCATGCATTTGACACATGCAACGACGGCAGGCAAGGACGGCGCAGGCAAGGAGCGCAAGCAGGGCGTGCAGCAGCAACTGCTTAAGCTGCGCAGTGAAGCTGATTGTGCACTGCCCTAATGACCTATGAAGCATGCATGATGGCATCGCAAGGCATGGCAGTGCGAGGCATGGCAGTACGTGCCGTAAGTTGCATCTCAATTTGCAATGCGATAGCCACAGCAAGGACAGCAGGCAAGGACGGCAGGCAAGGACGGCAGGCAGGGACAGCAAGCAAGGACAGTAGGCGGGGTTGGCAGGTAAAGTCGGCAGATGATCCATACAGGTGCTGATGCTGCGCTGAAGCTAATGGAGCACTATCTTAGTGGCCTATGAAGCATGCACAAAGGGTTGGCAGTGCGAGGCATGGTACTGGGTGGCATGGCAGTGCGTGCAGTAAGTTGCATCTTGAGTTGCAATGCGATAGCCACAGGGAGGATGGAATGCCTTGTGTGCAGCAGGGCGCACTGACCAGGCCTGTGGAGAGCAGGAAGCGAACAGGGTAGGGCTCCCAGGCAGGCGCAGAGGAGGGGAGGGAGGAGGCTGCAGCAGAACCAGGGCAGAAGTCCAAGGAGGGGTAAAGGGGAGAAGCAGGGAAGGACAGTGGAGGCTGCTGCTGCTGCTTGTGCTTGTGCTGCTGTAGGGAAGGGAGAGCGAGGCGGACAAAGGGGAAGCAAAGTTGAGGTACAACAAAAAGATGCATAAGGCGTGAATGGGTGTGACAAGAAGGTAGTTGCGGGCCAGCCAGGGCATGGCATGGCAGGGCATGGGGAGCCGAAGTGCCAAGGTGCGCTACACATTGGTTGACTATTCGGCTTGAGGGGTAACCTTTGTCATCTTGGGCTCGTTGTTGGGAACCCCCCTCTGCTGCATTCATCGCGTACTCTCCATGGAACCCGTCGTTTGCAGCACCCCCCGTGCGCTGCCCATGGGAGCCCCCTGTATGCAGCACTCACCGTGTGCGCACCGTGTTGAGAGCCCCCTGTGTGCAGCAGCACGCCTGCCTTGCCCTGCGCTGCTGCCTGCCCTTCCGGATCCAGCACCCACTGCAGCTCCTCCTGTGGAATACCACACCCCGTGTCCTCGCACACCATCACCACCAGCACCCCCCCACTCCCTGCCCCTCCCTCCCCTCCCTCCCTTCCCGCTTCCCTGCCCCTTTCCCCTCCCTCTCCCTCCCCATGACGACCATCACTGCTCCCTGCGGCTGCTGATGCAGAGGGAGCAGAGGGAGCAGAGGGAGCAAAGACAAGAGCCACACCCTCATCGCCACCAGTGCTTTGTGCCAGACCTGACTCGGTCCCCCTCAACCCGCTAAGCCTGTTCTTAAGACGTCCCCAGAACTCTGACCGCCTCCACCCCCACCACGCGGACAGCACTGCTGACCCCTGCATTCGTTCCCTCTGCTCTGCTTCTTTATGCAGCTCGTTCCCACACCCCCCCTCAGCATCCCCAGGATCCGGGTCGACAGCGGCGCATACAACAGCGCCATCGCTGAAGCGACTCACACACCCCTCCAGCTGATGCAGCAGCACTCGCAGCTGCTCAACCTCCCTCTCTTCCTCCTCTGCTGCTCCTCGCTCCCCTCCACCACCACTCTGGTCAAGAGTTACCCCTCGTGCCCCACCCTCTGTTCTTCCTTCAACTGCTGCTGCTGCTGTTGCTGTTGCTGTTGCTGTTGCTGTTGCTGTTGCTGTTGCTGCTGCTGTTGCTGTTGCTGTTGCTGTTGCTGTTGCTGCTGCTGTTGCTGTTGCTGCTGCTGTTGCTGTTGCAGTTGCTTCTGCTGTTGGGATATGGGAACTTGTTTCTCCTACTGACGCACCTGGCTGGGGTCCTACGGCATCTGCGGGGACGATCGGGGGACAAGACAATGAGGGCAGTTGGGAGGAAGGCAAAGGAGGGGGATGACCTTGTGTATGGCTGCTGTCGCTGGTGCCATTATTGCTCTCATATCTGTTGCCTCCACTGCTGCTACTGCCACTGCTCCCACTGCTGCTGCTGCTGCTGCACTGGCGGCAGGCAGCATCCAGCCACGATGCCAGCCATGCCCTGCAGTGCGCTCCCCCTTCCCCCGCTGCTGAGGCTGATGCTGCAGCAGCAGCAGTAGCATCTGGTGCCATGGCGGCATCTGCAGTCATGGGCGTGGCGAGAGGCGCGACCACCTGGGTGGTGTGGGGCATGGGGACGCACCACACCCGGAAGGCCACGTGCCCCGAGACGGTGGTGCGGATGGCATGGTCTGGCCAAGGGCAGGGCGGAGTGCAGGGCAGGACAGGGCAGGGAAGGGCAGGGCGGAGTGCAGGGCAGGACAGGGCAGGGCAGGCCAGGGCGACACATGGAGATGCCGAGGTAGAGAAAAGTATGGCATGGCATGACAAAGGGCGGGGCACAGGACAGGATAAGGCGACACAGAGTGGTGCGAAGGGTGACTTGGGTGACCCAAGGAGCAAAAGACAAATGTTACCCAGGGTAAACTAAATAATATACATGGCCGCGGTAAAATTCTGCAGGATACTCCTAGAATCGAGGAGAAAGGGAGAAAGAACAGCATGCTGTGAGCAGAAAAGGAACGCTAAATACTGACTGGGCACTTACCGATGAGCTCCCTCCCGAGTACTGTGCTACTCTCTCATCGCCACGGTGCCACCCTCTCTCAGGAGGTTGTCTCATCCGGCGGCACTCACCGATGAGCTCCCGCACGACTTGAGCGAGTCTGAGAGGATCGCCCAGCAGCACCTCGGGCACACTGCAGTCCACGTGGCACAGCACTGCCACGCACGGCACGGGGAGGGAGGGTAGGGAAAAGGTATGATGGCAAAATAAAACATGTTTCACAGTTCCCGCTTCACTTCCACGGCCAATTCATCTTCCTATCCTTGATCTTCTGCCCTCTTGGTCTTAAGAAGGTATCCAACCATCAGGAAATCTGAAGGTATCTCTCCACATGTGGCCGGCCCTCTTGGTCTTGAGAAGAGGTCCAACCATCAGGTTTTCTGAAGCAATCTCTCCACATGTGGCTGGTCTCATGAATATAATGACATTCGCCATTAAATCGACCGCATCCACGCCCATGGCTATTGTTGCTACCAAATCTTCCTCCTCCTCGTCCACTGCCCCTTCCTCGGCTGCAACCGCGGCCCATGCTTGCAACACCGTCGCCATCGGGACACGACATGGCGAGGTAATAGACATGAAAGCCGCAGATGTGCGTCCGTCAGAGATTTCAAGCAATGCACAAAACATCCAGCGTCCGTAACGGGTCCCACTCCATCTTCCCATGTTCCCTCCTTCCTCCTTAGAAGCCTTGCATGTCATATTAACAGCCCCTCTTGAACGCCGCGGCCAGCGTGTACGGCCCCCACGACACAGCATTCACTGCACAGCTGTTGGCGCCCAGCTTCAAACCCCTACCTCCTCCTCTCCCCCCCCTCCCCCAACTCACGCTGCAGGCCCCTCTTGGATGCCTTGCGACTCACACTGGAGGTCTCTCTTGGACGCCTTGCAACTTCACGTTCGAGGCCCCTCTTGGAGGCCCCTCTTGGACGCCTTGCGACTCACATTGGAGGCCCCTCTTAGAGGCCTTGGGCAGCAGGTCGCGCGCGACCATGTCGACAGCGTGGCGCAGGGAGAGCGGCAGCGCCTCGAGCTGCAGGCGGCCAGCCTGCAGCTTGGCGAGGTCGAGCACGGAGTTGAGCTGCGCCACGATGGCCGCTGCACACTCCCGCGCCACTCCCAGGTCGCACTCCTGCCGCACCGCCAGCGAGCTCTCCAGCAGCGCGTCCATCATGCCTAAGGGGGGGGAGGGGAGAGGGGGGGAGGGGTAGGCAAGGGTGGGGGTCCATCATGCCTGGGGGGATTGGTAGCACGACTTTGTGTAGTCTAACATGGTAATAGCTTCGAACTTCTTAGTGGTTCAATCTCAAAAGTTTTTTCGCAATTGTGCTTTCTCAAAACATACCCACAATGGGCGTGCACCAACCTAGCATGCCCACAATCGGGGTGCGCAGCTCGTGCGAGAGGTTGGCGACGGTTTCGCTCTTGGAGCGCTGGGCCCTGTCGAGCACGGCGGTGCACAGCTCCACCTCCCTCACCGCGCGGCTGATGGCCGCCTGCTTGCGTGCCAGGAACACAATGATCAGCGTCAGCAGCACCGCCACCACCACCACCAGCACCGCCACCAGCACCGGCGCCCACACCAACCGCCACCAGCTGCCATCGTCTAAAAACCTGAAATTCAATCAGCAAACGTTATAGAGGGAATAAGAGCGAATCGGGGACATTGGAAAGGAGGAGGGAATTGACTGACCTAAGCTGCAAAGCTCCCTAGGGTCACCCAAAAAAGCGAATGTGCTGAAAACAGTTTGGAAACAGTAGCCCTACTAAGATGTGCTTGGTGTAAACGAGTACCTGCAATGAACTTCAAAATGCGAGAACAGAAGGGTTCTGAGAAGCGCTGAACGTCCTTGTAGCCCGGCGCTATGGACGTGGGAAACAGAAACGTCATGAGGGTGCCGTTTCCCTTCCTCGTGACGTTGGCACCAAACATGAGCACAAGGGCATCCTCATCCGTCACATCGTAGAGGTCGAACGAGTACTTGTTGGTCGCTGCACACGAGGAGGAAATGGCAGTGGGAAAAGGCAGCACTTTCTTTCCCATTAGATGATGTCAAGTGTGGTGGGTTCTTTGAGAAACAAGCTTGTGATGTGCTGCTACATGCACAAATTTCCATCGCCACTTTCCCCCACCTTTCCCAGAACATAGCATTTACTCTTGCTGGCATACGTTTCTAGTGTAGCGGTACGCCATTCGCAGGTCCTTACAGGTGCACTACCTGCTCACTTGGCCCCCTGCTTCGTCTCCAAACGGCCCTCTTACACAAAGAACATACACCAAAAAGAGAAAATGCATGCCATGGCTTGCATCACAGCCACGCTCAGTCTCAACTCATTCAAAACTTTCGAAACCCCTCACTTCTGCTCAACGCCAATTTTCTCACCACCCTCTTCTCTTCCTCTCCCTCACGCCTCTCCCTCTCCCCTCTCCCTCTCCCCTCTCCCTCTCCCCTCTCCCTCTCCCCTCTCCCTCTCCCCTCTCCCTCTCCCCTCTCCCTCTCCCCTCTCCCTCTCCCCTCTCCCTCTCCCCTCTCCCTCTCCCCTCTCCCTCTCCCCTCTCCCTCTCCCCTCTCCCTCTCCCCTCTCCCTCTCCTCTCTCCCTCTCCTCTCTCCCTCTCCTCTCTCCCTCTCCTCTCTCCCTCTCCTCTCTCCCTCTCCTCTCCCCCTCTCCTCTCTCCCTCTCCTCTCTCCCTCTCCTCTCTCCCTCTCCTCTCTCTATCTCCTCTCTCCATCTCCTCTCTCCCTCTCCTCTCTCCCTCTCCTCTCTCCCTCTCCTCTCTCCCTCTCCTCTCTCCCTCTCCTCTCTCCCTCTCCTCTCTCCCTCTCCTCTCTCCCTCTCCTCTCTCCCTCTCCTCTCTCCCTCTCCTCTCTCCCTCTCCTCTCTCCTCTCTCCCTCTCCTCTCTCCCTCTCCTCTCTCCCTCCCCTCTCCCCTCTCCCCTCTCCCCTCTCCCCCCCTTTTCCCCACCCCCCCCCCCTCCCCCCCCTTGGCCCCGCGTGGCACCTTGGTTGAGCACGTCCATGAGGGCCCACCTTGGTTGAGCACGTCCATGAGGGCCCACCTTGGTTGAGCACGTCCATGAGGGCGTGAGAGATGAGTGTCTCCGTGTCGATGGCCCCAGCAATGAAACCACCCAGCATTGCAATCCCTTGCTCTATGGAGGCTTGTCGGGCCAACGACGAGCGGATGATGGGCATGCCGTATGCTGCAGGGAGGGAGACATGGGGAGCGTGGGGAGGGTGGGCCGGTACAAGGGAAAAAGGAATGAGAGAGGGGCGATGAGCGCAGCCAGGTGGGAGGATAGAGGAACGCGGGGAAGAGAGAGCAGGAGGAAGAGGAGGGAAACTGAGGGGAAGACATTGCAGGATAAGGAAGGAGAGGGATGGAGAAGGAGGGAGCAACGCATTACGCACCGAGCCCGATGTGCTTGTTGGGGAACAGGAGCGGGGGCACGGCGGTGCGCTCGCCGGTGAGCAGAAACTGGTCGATTATGGTGGGTTGCACCATGTAGAAGTCCGTGCAGGGCGGGGTGTTGTAGGGCGCGGGGAAGCGGAAGACAGAGACAAAGTAGAAGGGAGCCGCGGGGGCCACGGTTCCCAACAGCGACAGCACAGTGCAGTTCAGAAGCCTCTCCAGGACCGGGCTGAGGGATGCATGTGGGGGAGGGATTGGGGGAGAGGGGGAGGGGAGGGGGGGGATGGGACAGAGGAGGGGGATGGCTGGATGGAGCAAGTCGTGGTGTTTACGGGAACTGGATAGCGTGCGTGCGACTGCACGCAACCAGGGCGGTGAACTGCTGCTGAATGCCCTAGCGCTTTTTGCACTGGGCTGCGCGTGCGTTGAAGCAGAAGTAAACACGAAGTGAAAAACCCAGGAAGCGAAAGCCCAAGGGAGCGAAAGTAAACGGCCATGGATGGAAGAAAACAGGCTTGGGATGCTGGCGGTACAACTGTGAAGACTTAAAAACCTGTAAGCTTGGCGCGACCATTCGAGATAGAACAGCGCCATGCATAACCTGTCTTAACTCTCAGAGTGCTGTGGAAGGAGCCGAAGGTTTGCTGCTAAGAGGAGACTTGCCAGGGGGTTGCTGCTAGGAGGCAAGACGGACTCCTTGGCAATGTAGTTCCAACAATAGGGAATCACCGAGGAAAAAGGGTGGGGGGGGTGTACCGTTCGTTGTGGGTGATGGCGACACCCCACGCGGTGAGCGACCATGGTTGCACGCGTTGAAGCCACTTCTCGCTGAAGGCGATCCACGTGGCATTGGTTATGCCGCCCTTGAGGCCCCAGTAGGAGGGGGTGTTGGGAGTGTTAGAGATCCCGTTGAACACCTTTATCAGCCCGACCAAGATCTGGTATGTCACAAGGAGGAGCGGGAGCATCGTGGCCCGTGGGAGACAACGAGCGAAAGTTAAGTCTCTGAACATTCTCAAGGACCATGATGGGCGACTGGAAATGAGGGACAAAAAGATGTGCGGGTGATTGGCGCGACCATCAGGACGACGCTTGGAGCTCAGGTCTCGCGGCAGTGAAAGTATTAAAACCCGAGGTCCGGATTGTCCAAAAGTTGAGCAGTTGAATTTGTGACGTGGTCATCTGTGGAACGCCTTCGAAGGACGAACGTATCTGTTATCAGCAGAGCACGGAACAGCGGCCATGTTACTAGCCTCGGACACGAGTCACGAGTTACGACCCACCTCTACTTGACTGAGGCTCGACACGAATTCCTGGTGCACGTAACGCGCTCGAGCCGCGCACCAAGTGTGCAAATCATCCTTGCGCGGGTTATCGGCGGACTGCCACGTGAACCACGCCGTCCACACCGCGATCGCCAGCCATGCGAGACACCACGCGACGAGCGCCACGCGATACCAGAACAGTCTCATTCCGTCCTAATGTTGCGTCTACCGTAGACTCAGTGGTCCTACGCGTCAGTCTGACAAATAAAGCGGCATTTATCTGCTCGTGTTTCTACGTTTAGGTTTAGGACGGAGGACCTCTTCTGGGTGTCTTGAGTGCTTGATTGTACTGTACTTAGCCGACGATTACAGTAGAATCCGAAGGAAATGCACCGTATTGTGAGGGGAAATGATCAAAAAGGGTCCTCGCTTTGCCAGAGGCGGGAGCAAAAAAGGTCCGGCTATTTTCTGCTCCAGGGACCTCGCCTCTGAACCTGAAATACACTTCTTTCTTTGTTTAGTACTTCAAACGTTTACAAAACGTTTGCGGTACCATTCAACACTTCTCAACGGGCAAAAAAAACTAAAACCCATTGGGGACGTATTTCCGTTCCGGATGGCATCAACCCTAAACACGCGGTCCTTTTGCGAGTTTAAGAGTTGATGCCACCCCGAGTCGCATGCGGTGCCCCTATGGGTTTTAGTCTTTTTTTGTTTGTGCCCTAATACAGTACATTGAATTCGTATAAAGGTCCCACCACAGGGTTACGACACGAAGCGTCCACATGAACCTGCAAATCTGTGACCCTGTAATGTGTGGGTATTGTATGAAAAATTAGGTGTAGCAAAAGCTCGGAGACGAGGTCTCTGGACCAGACCTTTTTTGCGGGAGTTGGTCTCTGGACAAGGTCTCGGACCAAAAAGCTGCCGGACCTTTTTTGCTCACGCCTCTAGCGAAGGGAGGACCCTTTTGTTATCATTTCCCTATTGTGAGGAACTCAGCCACTAACCATGCCCTCAGGGCATGTCCAGCGCGTACGTTTACAAATCACTTTGTACGGTTCAATATGGTTTTTAGAGGTCCGACGTGGTGAGGCGCGAAAACCGCTCCTGATCGCAATATATCCTACTGAACCGTGATCTGTGTACTGTAAACGTACGCGCTGGACATGCCCTCAAAGACTTCGAATCTTGCCCCGCCAGAGGTGTGAGCAAAAAAGGTCTGGCAGCATTCTGGACCGAGACCTTGTCTCCGAACCTGTGATACAACGAATTCGTCGTACCACACGTAAATATTCTTGGTTCGCGACACAGCCCAGGTTTGTGGGGAACGTCGTATTGTGGCCCTGTGAGGTGAGACATTTATAAGAACAATGTTTCAGGGCATTAAAAAAAAAACTAAAACCCGTAGGGCCCTCACATGCGACTCGGGGTAGCATCAACCCTAAAATCGCGAAAGAGCTGCGTGTTTAGGGTTAATGCCATCTCGAACGGAATTCGGTCCCCAATGGGTTTTATATTTTGCCTTTTATCGAGAGACGTTTACTGGAAAGTACTCAAAACACAGGCACAGAGGTAGACGGACCTTTATTGCTCACACCCCTGGCAGAGCGAGGACCAGGGCTTATTTTTTACGAATAATTGCCCTAATTTTGACCAAATAACGGGTGAATGTTTTACCAAAATCGGATAGCGACGTGTTCGATTCTCATGAACCCTGATTTGACGGGTACACTTTGACCAGAACACGTGAATCGACGTGTTCGGCTTTGAGAAACACGGATACTCAAACTTCTCACATCACCCCACAGATCCCCCCGCCATTCCCTCCCCCCAAGGCCACATCAGCCCCAGCAAGGAAGTTCAAGAAATAGAAGGATAAGAGCTGAGCGCAGTGATCGTACGTGGTTCCCTTAGCAGAATCCAGGAACTTTTCGTAAGAGCGTTTGTCATCACGGAGAAAATCCCGGGACTGAACCCGGACATTGACGGGTAACGTTCCAGATGAACCCGTTTATATCCGGGTAACACAAGAGAGATACTCGGATCTGCCGTGTGGACGAAAATCCTAAGGTAAGTCCTGGCGAGGACCCTTTCTGATCATTTCCCAATCTTGAGTTGGGGGTAGCGAAAATGGCGAGGGGCACTGGCGGGCCCCACGCGAATCGCGAGGAGCCTCGGGACGACTGACATCGTCTCGCCAAAACTGGCGAGGTCGCAAGGGTACAGTGGGCGACGCTGCCCCTCGAACACGCGAAAGCACTGTTCCGACAAAAAGAAACAGTAAATCTCCTTTAGAAAAGCACCTATTGTGCTGGTAAGGCTCATGCAATTGACAAAAAATACAAACGAACAAACCAGCACAATTCATCTATGTTTACCTAGATAAAAGACGATAATCACACAATGAATCACACGTCCTCAAAATATCAGGCGGTAGGAGAAGGGGGGGGCAGGTGGGGAGGGGGAGGGGGGGAGGGGGGGGAGGGTTGGATGTCCAGGGCAAACAACGATCCAGAATGAGGGGCAGGCGGGGGATGGAGAGTGAGGGGGGAAGGGGGAACAATAAATAAAGAGACAAAATAAGAGAGAAGATTGGTAGAAAGATAAAAAGAGAGAGGGGGCGAGGGAGAGAGAGAGAGGGGGAGAGAGAGAGGGAGAGAGAGAGAGAGAGAGAGAGAGAGAGAGAGAGAGAGAGAGAGAGAGAGAGAGAGAGAGAGAGAGAGAGAGAGAGAGAAAGAGAGAGAGAGAGAGAGAGAGAGAGAGAGAGAGAGAGAGAGAGAGAGAGAGAGAGAGAGAGAGAGAGAGAGAGAGAGAGAGAGAGAGCGAGAGAGGGAGGGACAGAGAGGGAGGGACGGAGAGGGAGATTCAGGGGCAGAAAGTGAGAGCGCAATGAACGAACCTAGAGGGGGGGTGCGAGATGGGCCAAGGAAGGTGCGAAAAAGGCGGGATGGGCGGCTCATCCATGGTCCCATCGCTTCTTGCAGAGCCGTGCGCGCTTCGGCTTGGGGCGTCGGCCACGGTTCTTCTCCAACCTTCTCTTGCCTCATTGTCATTCTTGCTCCTCGCTCCTCTCACCCTCAATCAAATTCTTTGCAATGCCCGAGCTCTCTAACAGAGGCTCGGGCATTGCCCAATCTCGCCTAGCTCGCTATCCCTCGTCGAAATTTTCCCCCATGGCCGCTCAAGCAGTTAATGGTGTGTCACTTTTGCGAGCTCATCGCCCACCCTTCTGGAATCAGACGTTGCTCCGTCCTTTCCCACCAGATCCTTCGGCTCCTAGACATCCGCCTGCATCTCCCGCTCCTCCCGCTCCTCCGGCGCCACCGGCGCCACCAGCGCCCCCTGCACCTCCTGCTCCTCCTGCGCCCCCGGCTCCCCCTGCTCCGCCACCTCTCTCGTCGCCGGTGGTCACACGTCCTCCGGAGTGGGACAACGATTGGCAGGATGACGACGACCTGTTTTGGGAGGAGGATGAGGCTGACGACCGCGAGCCTGAACCTCCTCGCCCACTTCCTCGCGTTATCGTGCCTCGTTTCCCGCAAGCGCAACGCCGTCGTAATATGCCTCTTTGTAACCGTGATGCTGCACCTCCCTCCCCCAGGGCTCGCAGGACAAATCGCAAGCGACTCGCACTGACGGCAACCGAGAAGCTGTACTGGTTGGCGAAGTTGGAGGCGGAGCCGGAGATGTCGAACCGCTCCCTTGCTCGGATGGCTGGAGTGCAGCCGTGCGAGATTCGCGACCGGAAGAAGAACAAGGCACGACTCATTGCCTCGGCTGGCTGCAGGCGTCGCCTCATCGGCTCCGGTAGGAAGGCGAAGTACCCCACCATGGAGTGCGAGCTGTACAAGAAGTTCTTGGGCCAGCGCGCGCGAGGGCTGGCGGTCTCGATCGGCACGCTGCAGAAATGGAGTCGGAAGTACATGCGTAAGCACCACCCCGGCATCGACTGGCGTGCCTCGTCACGGTGGACCTTCCGGTTCCGCGCGCGCTGGGGACTGACAAAGCGCGTGAAGATGAAGATGGGACAGCGCATGACTGCAGGTACGTAATTTGACATGCCGCGAATACTCCCTGCCCTCGTCTAGCCCTAGTCGTGCTTCCTTGTCTGCTGACCGCACTTATGTTTTCTCTGTTTTTGTTTTTTATTATTTTCATTGGCAGACTGTGACGCGAAAGTCGAGAAGTTCTGGGAGTCTGTTCGGCAGCTCCGCACGCTCAACGACTACCCCAACGATCTGATCATCAACGCGGATCAGACGCTGCTATTCTTGGAGATGCCGCAGGAGACCACACTCGAAGTCCGGGGCTCGAGAACTGTCCATGTGCGCACGACCGGCTACGAGAAGGAGAGGCTGACCGTCATGATGGCCGTCACAGCAAGTGGCAAGAAATTGAAGCTGTACGTCATCTTCAAGCGGAAGACACTACCTCGGATCCGCGTCCCGCCCGGTAAGGATTTCGTGCCTTTTTTGTGCCGCCACCGCTAATGTTTTTCGTAGCTGTCTTTCCAGGGCAAACTCATATGTCTCGTACCTTGCGCTTGTGCAGGAATTGTGATCAAGGCCCAGGAGAAAGGGTGGATGGACGAGACCCATGTCAAGGACTGGGTCACCACCGTCCTGGTGCCGTTTCTCCGCTCGATACCCTCGCGGCGCGGTGGCCGTCAGAAGGCTCTGGTGGTCCTCGATTCGTACAAGGGACACCTGACGGAGGGAGTGTCCCAGTTGATGCGACTCTTCAAGCTGTCTAGGGCTGTCATCCCCGGTGGTTGTACGCCTATCGTGCAGCCTCTAGACGTGGCGGTAAACCGGTGCGTCAAGGCGCATGTCCGGAGGTCCTACAGTGAGTGTTTCGAAGAATTCGGCTGCAAGTCCACAACCCCTGCATGTGAGTAACGTTTTTATTCTTTGTCTTTAAAAACTCTACCCGCGTCGTGATTTTTTAAACCATGCCTTGCATTCCTCCACCACTACTCCTAAAACCCCCGCCTACTGTCTCGTCGTTTTGTTTTCCCCTGCAGGGAATCTTCGCAAGCCGCCAGCCGAGCTCGTGCTGCAGTGGATTGCCGACGCCTGGGCCGCGGTGCCAGCTGAAATCATCTGCCGCGCGTTCAAGACGTGCGGCATTTCCAACGCGACCGACGGCACAGAGGACGAGGTGATCCTCGCCCACATGCGGGATGACGCCGAGGTCGAAGTCATGGAGGATGTCCATGCCGAAATGGAAGAGAGTGGGGCGCTGAACCCATACTACGAGTCGGAATATGTGGAGCCGAGCGCCACGCCGAGCTCGGAGGAAGACGATCCCGATGTCGAGGCGGAGATTGAAGCTGCAGCAAGTGCCTCGTCATCCGGTGCATCTGGAGCTGCAACACCCGCGCCAGCATCAGAGGCGTCTGGGAATCCAGGAGCCCGCACAGCAGTAGCAGGAGCAGCAACAACCTCTACAGAGGCGGGGATATCAGCTGCCGAAGGCGACGAAGGTCTAGAGATGCCTGCGGCGGAGGTTCTGGCGGGCTTGGCTGCATCCCGCTGGACTGATGACTTTGACTGGGACGGAATCGCCAGTGACGATGAAGATGCCGAGGTGTGGCATGCAGGAGAGGACTTGCACGATGAGGACAAAGACAGAGACTAACTATTGACTTACCCTGCTAGGACATGTAGCTAGCTGTTGGATGATCAGTGTGTGCTAAGTGAATGGTAGTGGTAGCTAGCTTAGGTATTCGAAAATGCACTAGAAATGCCTCGCACAACGGATAGGCTTTAGACTAGTGTTAAAACTGTTGTCCAATGATAAAACCTTGATGCTAGACCAAGCAAATCCACAAATCCCCGATGGAGGGTGTCATGTAAAATTCGTAATAAAAAACGTGGGTGCTCTAAAAAATGCACCATATCATAAGCTATCCCCCGCATATGCCACCCATGGGTTGACTATTTCGGCGGGTCTTATATGCGGGGGAATACGGTACAAGGAAGATATAGGGTTGGAGACATACTCTCCTAAGAACACAATCCTATCTAGCCTATAGCTGCTACGTATAAGGATATGTATAAGTTGACACCATCCACCATGTGTGATAGCTGCCAATGCAGAACAAGCTTGAGGATGGAGAAGCAAAACCCAGTGCAAGATAACGCAGTTGAGTGGACACACACACATATCATAGGTTCTTGGGTGAAAGCCGGGTAGGGCAGGGGAAGTTCAGGGTGAGATTGACTGTAAGAGCTGCAACAAGGCAACATCCACAGGTACCTACATGCACATCCTCAGCTCCCGACAAATCGTCAGCTTACCACATATGCGCTGCTGCGTTGGGCATTGTTAACAGCACTGGCGCTTGGCTGCTTGTCTTGTGACCCTGGTAGTGCCCACAGAAGTCCGAACACCACCACTTCTTCCCCCCCTTGCTATCAAAGCCTCCGCTTCCTCCCTTCCCTCTGCCACAGATGGCCCTGCTGCCACTTCCCCTGCTGCTGCGACGCTAGTTGCGGCAGCAGCTGGTAGCACAGATGAGACAGGCACGACTGCACGCCTGCCTCGCTTTCCTCTGCTGTCAACTACTCCTGCCATCGCTTTGGCAACGGCTGCCACTGCTGCTGCGGGCTCTGCTCCCTCCCCAGCTTGCACGTCGCCAGCAGCAGGTTCGTTGGCAGAGATAGAGCCACTGTACATGTGACCTCTGTTTCTTTCCGAACGCCTCCTTGTTCCAAAATCTGTAGGGTCTTTCTCTCCCTCAGTTCCCTCCATGCCTCCACTCTCACAATCGGCACCACTCCTTCTACCTCGTCCTCGCCCCCTTCCTCGTCCTCCTCCTCTTCCTCCCCCCCCCTCCTCTCTCACTGCTTGCACTCCTGCCCTTGGCAGTCCAGCGACACTCGCCAGCGGCACCTGTGCACCACCATGCAACACGCCAGGCTCCAACTCCTCAACAACATCCTCCTCACTCCCACGCTCGCTCCCACTCTCAATCCCATCCCCATTCCCAACCCCATTACCATTCCCACTCCCATTCCCGCTCCCATCCTCACCCTGCTTCGCCTTGTCTTCTTCCTGCTTTGGTAACGCTGATCCACCCATGCAACTCTGCGCTGCCCTTGTGCCTGCTCTCCCTCCTGTGCCGCCCACTGCTTCCATAGCCGCTGCAGGGTCCACTGCTCCCCCTCCCGTACGCCCCCCAATCGCTCGCCTACTACTCTTGTTGTCACTCACCACCCCGTTAACTCTCCCCTTCCTGGCACTACTCTTCATCTTCTTCCCTCCACGCTTGTCTTCTCCACTATCCAGCTCCCCCTCATCCTCCCCTGTCTCCTCCTCCTCCTCGTCCCCCTCCTCGTCCTCCTTTTCCCCCTCCTCCTCTATCTTCCCTGCGTCTCCATCCAGCCCACCCCCTCTCCTGCGACGTCCGGTTTTCCCTCTCCCATTGTTCCGAGTTCTCCCTGTGCCTGGCAGCTTTTGCAGTGCAGGCACTATGGCTGACGTCTGCAGTGCGGAAAGGGTAGGGGGAAGCAGGGGGGTTGAGTGTAGGTTATAAGGTGGGATGGGGGCGAGTGGAAGGTGAAGGAAAGAGGGGAGGGGCGGTATGAGAAGACGTGTGTTTTGCATACAAAGGAAGCACTACCAAACAGTCTCTTTTCGGGTGGACTCTGAGAGCGGCACAACACGGCATGGAATGGCATGGCATGGCCATTTGACCACTAGGCAGCGGTGAGGGAGGCTGAGGAGACTGCTAGGGTGGGGCATGAGAAGCGCAAAGTACTGCACACGACAAATCGTGCAAGGGAGAGAGCATGGAGAAAGAGAAGGGGAAACAAGGCACCCGCGCCCTGGGGGGAAGAGAACGAGGGAAGGAAGTGGGGGAAGGGAGCGGGGGAAGGGGCCAGGGGAAGAGAGCATACCCGACCTGCCACGGTGATGAAGCTGAGCTTGTGCCCTGCAGCGAGCGACGGCGAGGGGAAGGAGGCAACGGGGGGGAAGGAGGCAACGGGGGGAAGGAGGCAACGGGGGGGGAGGAGGCAACGGGGAGAAGGAGGCAACGGGGGGGGAGGAGGCAATGGGGGAAAGGGGGCAACGGGGGAAAGGGGGCAACGGGGGAAAGGGGGCAACGGGGGAGAGGGGGCAATGGGGGGAAGGAGGCAACAGGGGAAAGGGGACAGTTGCTCATCTTGTGGCATGAAGCATGCTGCATGCATGCAGGATGATGGTGCCATTAGCCGTAGGGGTGCACGAGGATGAGACGAGAATTGGTCTAGTTTTGAGGCGCCTCAGAACTAGACTTGTATCACATGGTGCCGTAGGGGTCTGTGAGGTGAGAATAAGATAGAGCTGCAATGGCGTGACGCGAGAAGATGGGAAAAAGTTTGCGGATGAAGGCCTATTGCTGGCCGAAACGCGTTCGCACGTGACATCCGGGCCTATTGTGTCTGGCGTTCTGACTAAGAAAAAAAATCTCGTACATTTCTCGCCGTTAATCTTAGTTCGAGACCTAGATCTACTCTTAGGAGGCTTGCTGCGGATCGAATCCAACTTTTTCCCAGATGCAATGGCGTGACGAGAGAAGATGTGATGCAATGGCACAAAGAGGCCGGAAGCAGCTAAGTGAGGCTGAGCGAATAGGGTTGACACTGACACGTGCTGCTGACATGTTGCAAGCTCAACGGCATGCAAAAGAGCACGTGTTCCGAACGTGCGAAGGAGCCTGGCTTCTTGGCCCATCCGTGCAATAGAAGTGTAGTTTTGAGACGTCTCAACACTACGATGGATCTCAACAGCACGCAACGCGAGCACGCACGCACCTGCAATGGAGCCCGGCTTCTTGGCCCATCGCACGTGGAAGAGCCACGACGGTGGGAAGCGATCGCTGTCCGCGTCCACATCCACTGACGCCGCGACCACCTGATGGGCACACACAACGGAACGAAGGAATCTACGTTTGAGGCGCCCATTCCTGACGTGACTTGATGAGGAGGGATGGGGCGGGATGGGGCGGCAGAAAGGAGGGAGCATGCGGAATCACAGACCCTAGTAGGTTGGTCACGACAGGAGAGTGGAAGAAAGAGCCCTGGGGGTCATTGAGGGTTTGACAAGCGAGGCAGAGGGGCCGAAAGAGAGAAAAGAGCAGGGGAAAAAGGCAAGCTTCAGTCAGCAGTGGAAGGAACAAACCCTCAGAGGCATGGCACCACTTTTGAGGCGCCTGAAAACGATTTTTTAGGCGCCTCAAAAAAAGAGGCATTGCACCACTTCTCCCCACCCCCTCACCCCCCCCCCCCCCCTCCCCTTTGCCTGGCTCCACCACTTCCCTGCAGCATTCCCTGCATCCCCTCGGTGGGAGTGCATCTCCCGCTGACCTGGTGGATGGCGGAGTGCAGAGCGGTGCAGTGCGCGTCTGACAGCAGCGCAGTGGGGGTCTCAGGGTGCAGGCGCGCCTACAGGGGGCAGGGGGGGGGGCGGGGGGGGTTTGTGGAGGGGCGGGGAACTAGTCGAAGGGAAGAAGGGCGGGAAGGCGTGAGAAGAATGGGAATCTGGACAGGCGAGATGCTGCTCATGGGGTGAGGCGAGGCAATGCGTGGTGGGGTGAGGCGATGCGATGCACGGTGCAGGTGAGGCGAGACCTGATGCAGGATGCAGTCACCTGGTAGAGCACTTCGTCCGCCAACCAGTTGCCGATGCCACTCAGCACTGCCTGCAGCACACGCACACGCACATGCAAGGCAGGAAGTGTTGTGGCGGAGGTGGGGGAACAGGGAACGAGGTATTGGAAAGCGGGAGGAGGATAGTCCATGCACTTATGCACCCCCCTGGTCCATGCACCCCCCTGGTCCATGCACCCCCATGGTCCAGGCATGGTCACCTGGTCCAGCAGCACGGCTTTGACTGCCCTTGACCGGCGGCGCAGGAGAGACGCGAAGGCGGAGGGGTCAGGGAGAGACAGCAACGCGTCTGGGCCCAGCTGCGCTATGGGTGGACACAGCAGCGGCTGGGGGGGGAGGGGGGGCCGGGGTGGGAGTGGGGGAGGTGGGGAAGGGAAAGACGAGAAAGGAGCGGTAAGGAGAGAGGCATGGGGAGGGGCAAGGGGAGAGGCAAGGGGAGAGGCAAGGGGAGAGGCAAGGGGAGAGGCAAGGGGAGAGGCAAGGGGAGAGGCAAGGGGAGAGGCAAGGGGAGAGGGCAAGGGGAGAGAGGCAAGGGGAGAG